GGTGATTATTATCTTAATTTTTACACTGGCCCTAATTAAATTACTGAACTAGTTGATTTTAATAACTTTTTTTTATATTTCAGATATAATGCCAAGAGGCGTCATTGGAGAAGAACTAAGTTGAAGTTGTAAGCTGTGCTCATCCTGCTTGACCATTTCCGTGTGTACTTTGACTATTATTCCGATGGATATTAATTATGTACAATGTTTGATATTCAATAAAGATCCAAAATTTAACAAAATAATTGTTGTTTAATATTTTCAACTATTCATCTTGATTTGTAAATCAACAGTAACAAAAATTTATTTTAGTACTAGTGTCCTGATTCGTAATTGAATTACAATATTGTGATGTATTCGTTTTGGTTATAAAATAAATATACTTAATTATAAAGTATAACACATTCGTGAATATTATACTTGCACTGTCCAGCAATAGTTAAGATTGTGGAGTGTGATTTACATTTTGTGGAGACATATTTGGTAGAATATTCTTTTGCGATCAATTGGTGATAGATATTGGTGATACAAAATGAGTTTTTGACCACTTTTGGACAGAGTATACAAATATGATTCAAACATTTAACTTACTAGTGATCTTGAATTTTAGTTAACAACCTTACGTCGGACTTTAAAAACTCCGTTTTGCTCACCTCGATTCATGATAGTCGTTTTTTCTTAAACCTTAAGAGTATTGATATGTTTTCATTGTTTTCAACCATATACATATATGACAATAAATTAATACAAGTAAAATACTTATTTAACCATTTGCTTAATAAATAACAAATAAAATAGTACATTTTTATTGAATCGCATAATAGTGCCTACCTAATATAATAATAATAATATATGTATACATTATACATCCCTGGTTAACAACCAATTTCCAAACCATCTTAGCGGGTCGTTGGGTCGGATGTTGAACATTTTCGACAGACCTGTGGAAATTGTTGGCATCATGGCGTCTTTTATGTACTCCTCCAAGTCATCCCCGCCTTCCGTGGTTGCATCCACTTTGTCTAATATAAAGCAAATTAGACATGACGAAGTCTTACAATATTTTTATAAACGAATGAAATAATAAAATGTAACCACGTGATAATAACATATAATATAATATCGTGCAGAAAATCGGTGCGTACTGTTTGGGAAAAAGAATTTTATTTCTCGTTCGGCCGCTGCAGGAGAATCGCTGCCRTGGAACGCGTTGGCTACCGGATCTGACCCCAGTTCCGTTCCGTATATGGCTCGYAGACTGACCGGAAACAAACGCTTGGCCCGAGAAACGTCCGCCGGACCGATTAGCCGCTGCCATTCTTCGACGCAATTTCTTTTGGACAACACGTACACCACTACTGGGCCTCCGGACATGTGATTGACAAGTCTGGTAAAGTATGGCGCTTGTGCGTGCTCTTCATAGAACTCCGCCACCTGATCCCGGGACAAGCGCAACACTTCCTTCTATAAGACGACATTATATTGTGCAGGGGACTTGGTTATTCCGATATGTATTCCGAGAGATTTAAACGTTAGATAATATTCCGACGTGCTATATAGAACGGTATTCGACCACAAGGGGAACAAATTATTGTATCAGGAAGTTTTTAAAATTTTTTTGATACAATAAACTTWATGATGTTATAAACAAAAATGACTTGATTGTGACTCGGGAAATTCTTTAATTACTTATACCATAATAGTCTTATAGGTTCTTAAATGTCGATCATAATCTTATAGATTATAACTACCTATATACATAATATCAATTTCGATGTTTAGTATGGCTGTAGACTACGGTTATTATTAAAAGGGTAACGATAATAATATAGGTAGGTATGATTGTACGAATGTTTGTTAGACACATCCATTTCAAAAAATGGAAACATTAAACGGTCAACACCTAGTAATTAGTATAAAACAATCAACATTTTACTTTTGATACCATTTTATGTATTATCTTATTTTATTTTCCCTAATAAATAGTAAAATATACTACATAATATTATGTCAAATTGTAAAATYATTAAAATGTAATATAGGTACGAGTAATAAAGCTAAAATAGAAATTCATCATTGTTTTAATGTTAGGCACCCTTTTATGATCGTATGAATTTGGCACCAGGGCAAAATGCAGTTTGATCACCCCCTAAATTCACCACTGCCTATGTGACAAGGTTATGTGTTAGAGTTAGAGTACAAACCGTTTTGACGATAAATCCATTTTGTTCCATCACACATTCCACCTTGTACATCAACCGGACAACTTCCGGTTTGATAATGGCCAACGTACATTGGAACGTCTGGTCGCCACCATCGTCATCGTCGCCGCCGTCGAACAACGGCACGTCGGAAAATGAAACCGGAAACGTTTCATAGCCAGAGACTTGTCTGGACTCGTTTTCTAGTCGCCCTGCGTAGCTCGCAGAGCAAATTGACGAAGATGGTGACGACCGGTCGTGGCCAGGCARCGATCTCGTGCCCAGCGAATAGCAGCTGTCTCGAAACATKACAGAATTGGCTATTTTCCGTCTATAAATGATTCCCACTCGCTCATTAATTTCAGACGCGGTGGCGAAGAAGTCGCGTAATTTTTGTTTGTTGACCGATCACTATGCGATGATGTAGTTGTTCGTTTCAAAATAAACAACGCCGACATGTATGAGGATATTTCTAAATTTCAGATTCACATACAAAATAAATAATAATTGAAAAAAACTACTTGTTCGAATTTGAGGCTCCGTTTATAGAGAGTCTCATTTGAAAAACAGAAGTTTATATCGTCACAGGGCACTGCTTGAGTAGTACAAAAAACTCAAGAATTTGAAAATATTATGATCTTTAGGTGTATATGAAAATTAATAAAATCAAAATTTTAATAAAATCATAATTAAATTAAGAATTGGTGGRGGAAGGGTGAACATGCTTAGTGAATCATTCTGTATATTAAATGCATGAGCTTGGACAKGCTCAAGTAAATAAATAAACCTCAAAATAACACATACATTTTCAACATTATAAATAATAAGTAACCTAACCATGCCATGGGCGTCCCCATCTTTCTCCCCCCCTGGGGACGCCCATGAACCTAACATATATTAATCATAGTTGATTAAGTATTAAAATATTAAACATTTTAAACTTAATATTATTTTGACAAATATTGCAAATACGTCGTAGCGTAATATTAAATACCTACTCTTAAAAGAAACAAATTATTTATAAATAATAGTTATTGTAATAATCCGTATAGCATTTGATTTTATCTTTTTGATATGRCGTATAGTTTAAATTTTTTCGCCTACATGGGTTTATTCAGCCGTGGGTCTAGCTCAATATCTTTCGCATGTCTATGAATATAATATATGGAAGCTTCGAAAACGGGGAATTTAATGATATATAATAATACGATGAGGATATATATTAAAGTCACCTATCATCGTGGAAAACGCCCAGAGCACACCGTTACTATTAAACTCGTTCGCACAAGGGAGGGTGCGTGAGAGATATAGAGAGAGAAATAATAGGTAATACCGTATATATTTTACACGTATATACTATATAGAGAGTTCGACGAGTTGTCCAACCACCTCCACCATCTCCACCTATCAGTGTATATTATGCAAATTCTGTCGTAAATATGGAAATTATCGGGAATAATATATTGTGCAGTGAATATATATGTTCCATTAAAAATAGCGTCGAGCAAAGTGAAATAATTGTTCATGATATAGCGAGTACAAAGTTATACCTATATGTATATATATATTATGCGCTAATAAAATCATATAGTACGATAACTCTGCACAGTGTATTGAAATTAAAAATATAATTATTTTAGGCCTACGCGTGTATATAGCACTGCAGCACGCGCGCATATAAAACACATTTTAATATTAATATGGACGTGTTTGGCCGCCGGTCGTCGATCGATAACGCTCGTGACACCTATTTGATTGCCTTTGACGGGAGTAATGAAATCATTTTCCATCATATATTCAATATTRTATGCTACTGCGCGACAATTTTCCGTTATCAAATTTTCGGTTTTGGCGATAAATATTAAACGTGATATGCCCCGCACACACAATATTATACCTAACGACAATGTCCGTCGGGCGAATCSCGACAAAGAGGTCCACCGTCCACCCCGAATTATATATTTACTCTGGCTTTTTTATTGGAAAAATACAACACAATTACATACATACATTTGCAAACATATGTTCATTGAATTTGAGGTGCTGACATTTATAACGATAGCCCAGCACGGCGAAATATAAAAATGTTGATGTTGATGATGGTTACAAATCTTGGCGACATTTGATWTTAAAATGTATATACTAACGATTAATAACTAGGTAAATAATATTTTTACTTTTTACAATACCTCATGAATGTTGTATAATTGAATAAACTCTAAAGTATTTAAAAATACAATAAAATATAGAAACGAATATTATTAGGCATCTTTAAACGTAACTCTATGAAGTAATATAAAAATGGAAAATTCTCATATAAAATAATTTTCATATTCACGGTTAACGCCAATAGCGATATTATTATTATTATAGGGGCAATATTATATCTGATAAAATTATATCTAAAATATAACACATTTAATATGTATTTTATCTACCCATAAGGCCATAACTCTCGCGGAACAATACCGCGGTTGGGGTTGAGAACGCCTCGTCGATATAAAAATATTTTATGAATATTGACCGTGAAGTGTTTAGTGACATGCAGACCACGCGGTCGTTTGTCACTGCAGTTCCGGTGTATATTATATACTGATCAGTGCGAACGTCGGTCGGAGGCATTAAAACCCTCAAAGTATCCCCCCACCCATCCCCTCCTCTACAATAACCTCATCAGTGACGATGTTTTCTCTCCGGAGGATTATCATCTTTGGGCCTACACCGGTTCTCCACTCCCGAGAAGGGGGTTAACCTCCGACGTTTACGCTCGTTGAGCACCGCGAGAGTTTGCATACACCGACCGAATTGACCGCCCCGTCGCGAAATAATAGCACTCCGGTCSGCAGCAGACAGGACGCGAAACCTCGTTATTTTTTACGGATTCCGGACCCAATTTTACGATATGGCCGTAAACCGTTATGAATTGATTCGGCATATTGAAAAATCCCATTGAAAAGGAAAACCGACAAAAAATAAATACGCGACCGGGGGTGCGGATTATGAGATCACCGGCTCGAGGTTTTCCGTTTTATTGTAACAATAATGTATACCATCATAATATAGTATAAATGTACGTATAATATATAATATATATGTATCACTGATTTATTTATGGACGAAAATAACGACGTTAAAAAAATAAAAAATAACTACGGTAGTCGGTAGACGTATTTATTGAACCAGCGTGGCGTTCCGGTAGCGTTTTCTTTTTCYATCCTCTCGTTCAATTTCCGTGCTGACCGGCTACCGCAGCAGATCGGTTATTCGGACAACTGCAGTGTATATAACCTAACCTCGTATTTTTTTTTTTCATAAAATATAGCATTTATTATGATGAGAGCTAACTAAATTTAATATTG